CCAAAGCACTTGGGTCGTCTTCCGCTGTTTTTCCTAGGTGCATTAACAGGAAACAGGATCAGAAGAGGAGTGGTCAGGACTCTTGTGGGATGCCGGCATCACAGTACCAGCCACTTGTTGGGTAGTCAACTGACTGTCTACCCACTCTTTAATTTGTAAAATGTATTTATTTGAAAGCTAGAAAGACACAGAGGGATCTTCCATACTTCGATTCACTGGCTGGGCCAGGCCAAAGCCAGAAGACAGGAATTCAATGTGGGTCTCTCACTTAGATGGTAGAGACCCAAGTACTTGGGCCATCCTGCTGCCTCCCAAGGAGCACATTTGCAGGAAGCAGAAGAGCTGGAACTCAAGCCAGGCACTCTGATTAGGCTGTGGGCACCGAAAGCAGTACCTTAACCGCTGGGCCAGACACCCGCTCTGACTGCCCTTTTTAGGGAGAAAGAAACTGGTTAAAAAAGTAAGAAAACATCAGTGACCACTGCCCAGTCCTGCATTCTCAAAGAACAGCATTCCCCGGGAGTTAACAAGGGTGTGACTGCTCTACCTGCTTCCAACAGTAGAGCAACAGGCTCACGCTGCAGGAGCTTAGCAATAAGGAGGGAGAAAATCTACCAGGGCACTTCCAAAAGTTTGTGGAAAATGGAATTAAAAGACGTTTCTTTGGGTGCAAAAAATGCTTTTGAAATCATATAGTTTTTCATAATACACGTCTTTCATGAACTTTCTGAACATTCCTGGAATGCATGGATCTCAAAAAATGTTTGCACCCAAAAAAACTTGTCTTTGAATCGCACTTTTCTACAAACTCTGGGCAGTACCCTTGTATCTTAGAAGACACGTGCATGGAAATGCAGGGAGCTACTGATTTCTCCCTTATACTAACCAAGGAGTTCAGTCCAAAAAGCTCCAGGTTTACAAATAAAGGGGTCAATCCATATTTTCTACAGGCCTTTCCCCTTCCAATTCGCCCTGGGCACAGGTTTTTAGTCCAACTGTCAACTCCTCCATTACTTTGCTCTCTCGGTTTTCCTCTACATTGCCTTTTCCTCCAGGTTTCAGACTTTATAGTTTGCTCACAAGTCAGTTTTACTCTGAGTTCACCTATGAATCGTATCATTTTAGAATAGCTAGTCCAAATTAATCAGGTAACTTCAAAATGACCTACCCCTGACTACCCATCCCCAGAAAAACCCTGCCGGTCTCCAGTTGGCCTCTGCTTTTCTCATTACTGCAGCGCTGCAGTAATGGGTCTCAGATTTTCAAATTCCCTTAAAGGACTGCTTGGGGGGAGGGGGTGCCGAGAGCAAAGATGTGCACTGACCTGCAATTCTAGAGCTTTGGGCTGTTCCAAGACCCACAGGCACACCCTCTAAGCTTATGCCCACCTCTCTGAAATGAACAAACGCAGCCCTGGTGGCACAGCGCTCGCTAAGAGCTGCACAGTACATCTTGGCACCGTTTGTTAGTTTATTTGCTCAAGTCCAGGGAGTGCTTCCTAAATGCAGAAACTTTTCTTCACATCCCTGCACAACACTTTCCAGTCATTTCCACAACATGCAAACAAATAGTTGATGAATGAATGAACCTCTTCATTTCTCAGAGACCTTCTCAACAGGTTATTGACAAAAGCGTATGTTTCACCCCAGCCTGTTAGATCCTTACATCCCTTTTTTAGAGTCTGTCATCTACAAAAACAGACAGTATTAAATGGCCCCCAAATCCCCTCCAATACAAAACCAAACCCCACAAGCAGCATACTCTCGATTCATGTCAGCACTGTGCTGTTTTTGGAGGAAAGGAGTCAGCAACCTTGTGGACCCAATTACCACCAGTAGAGACCAGTGAGTGGCAGAAAGCAGACGAGGAAAAGAGAGAAGACAAATGGAGGTGAATAATGGACAAGTGAAACCACCAAAAATGCCACCAGGTGTCACAACTGTTACTGTGCTACGCATTGTTTTCTGGTACATTTTGGCATCTTCAGGAGCCTTTCACAAAAGCAGGTACAGCCAGAGGTGTAGGCATCCAAATTTTCCTGGGACACCCCTGCTAGCCCCTTCCGGTAGCCTGGATGTTTTTACTGACTTCTGTGGGTAGGGCATGGATCCTACACAGAATTCCCCAGAGCAGGTGCTAGGAGACCGCACTCTGTCCCAGGAATACTGTGATAATCCTGGGCTGCCCACAGCTGTACATGAAACATGGCATTGGAAAGTGAACCCCAGTCACCTCTTCTGAAATTAATGCAGGGCCAAGGAGTGATATTGTAGGCCAGAGCTGTAGGACAGACATGGAATGCAAATGACATTTGTAATTTTAAATTCCCTACTTTTGAAAATAAACGGACAGGGGCCGGTGCCGTGGGACAGTAAGTTAATCCTCCGCCTGCAGTACCAGCATCCCATATAGGCACTGGTTCTAGTCCCGGCTGCTCCTCTTCCAACCCAGCTCTCTGCTGTGGCCTGGGAAAGCAGTAGATGATGGCCTAAGTGCTTGGGCACCTGCACCCACACGGGAGACCAGGAAGAAGCACCTGGCTCCTGGCTTCAGATCAGCGCAGCTCCAGCTGTTGTGGCCATTTGGGGAGTGAACCAGCAGATGGAAGACCTTTTTCTCTGTCTCTCTCTCTCACTTTCCGTAACTCTACCTCTCAAATAAATAGAATCTCTAAAAAAAAAAAAAAAAAAAAGAAAAAAGAAACAGGGGCTGGTGCCATGGTGGAATGCCACCTGCAGTGTCGGCATCTCATGTGGGCACTGGTTTTGAGTCCCAGCTGCTCCACTTCCGATCCAGCTCTGCTATGGCCTGGGAAAGCAGTAGAAGATGGCCCAAGTCCTTGGGCCCCTGCACCCACATGGGAGACCCGAAGAAGCTCCTGGCTTCAGATTGGCCGTTGCAGCCATCTAGGAAGTGAACCAGCAGATGGAAGATCTCTGTCTCTGCCTCTCTGAAACTTTGCCTTTCAAATAAATAAATAAATAAATAATTTTTTTTAAAAAATAAATGGATGAAATTACCTTTAACAATATTTATATTTAGCTCAATATATCTAAAACATCAGACCACATAATCCACATAAAACTTTTTAATAAGTTACTTTTTCCCTTGTACTAAGGCTTTAAAACCTGAAACGTACTTCACACTTAACATATCCCAACTCCAACACTAGATTTTCACTGCAAATACTTAATCTGTGTTTAGATTTCACAAAATTTACAGTTTACAAAGCAGATGCATATGCTCCAGTAGGTTTCCAATAACAGAACTCAGTATCAACTTTAAAAATTTAGCAAAATCCAAACCTTAGCTCATTTCCCTAGCCAGACGTCCTGTGATTGTTAATGACATGTGGCTAGTGGCTACCATACTACTGCACCCACAGACAGTCCTGTCTGTCACCTGGATTCTGTTAATCCTGAACCAGAGTAAAACACGTTACCCTACCAAGCGCTCAGAGTATGCCAAGTATTTTCACTCCCGCTTCTAATGTGTTAATACTGCAGGGGTGACCCTTAACTAAGCAGCCCTTCCCAAGTACTACGTAACTTTTAGCTCAGAGAGAAAGGCACATCCCAATTCAGGGACAGATGGAGATATCAACATTCAAAGAGCTGGAGTTAATTTCCAAGGTAAAGATGGAACATTCTGACACCCATCCTTCTCTGCCCAGGATATTAGTCACCCGGAAAAGTTACCATCGTTGTTGAAGAGCAGCGTCTCTCCACTGACACACTCAGCACCTGTCACTGCACCTCCGCTTCTCTGCCTCCCTCCTAGCTACCCAACCACCTTCTCCAGCCTCAGCCCAGGCTGCAGAGCACATTCCAGGAGACTCCTCTTGCACGCATTCTGCGAAGTGCCTGTTAGCATTGCCACACTGAAGCATCTGAATACTGCAATAAATGAACCTCGAGCCATTCTATTAACCAGTCATCGGTCCACGTACCCACGTCTGCTTTGAGGAAGGCTTTTCTGCAGCAAACGGCAGAAAAGGAGCCAGTGGCAAACACAACAGCTTTCTCTTCCTTCTCACCGCCTATGTCAAAGTTCCCCGTGTTCCTCCCGCAGCTGACTTAAAAGTTGATCTTTGAAAGGAGCTGGATTCCTAAGGTAGTTCTATTTTGAGCCTTCTTCCTGTTCTGAAGCTAAAGTTGGAAGGGCTTGGGCGGTGATGTCATGGAAGACAGACCATGGGCTTTCACAGAAGGGTCTTCTCTGGCAAGTCTGGGGACACAGATGGGGGAAACCGAGCATGGCCCCTTCTCATCTGCTCTCCCTCCTTCCCTGTAGGATCCCAGCTAGTTAACAGCCAGCACAGAAAACAAGTTCCAATCAGCCAGCAAGCACTTTCCTATTTTACCGGCTAAACAGCTCACACATGGAAAGACTGGAAAGAAGGGAGATGCCCCACTCTAGGGGAGAAGGTGACACCCTAGCCCCCAGCAACTATCCTAGGGCCAGGGTCAAAGAGGGTGGGAGAGCCCACTGCTAAGAATGAGATGATACACCCAGGAGGCTTGAAGAGGGAGCCGGTGTAGGGGTATTCGCCCCTTCTCTTCTCCATTTCCTCCTCCGTTTGGGAACCCTTGGGGTTGGGTGTGCCTTCTGCTCCGGAGGCCTGGAGAACCAAGAGGGGTCAGGGTGGGGCCGTGGAAAACAAGCTGCTCAGGCCTGGCTCCGGGCTAAGCTCAAGAGGAGAAGAAAACGGGCTGTGGCAGGGCAGAAGGCAGCCTGGAAAGCCCAAGGGAGATTTCCAAACAACGGCGCCCCGGCCCGGGACGGTCACCGCACTGCTCTCCGCCGCTGGTCGGCGGGGACAGGTCCAGGGCTATGGGGAAACCCCAACACATCTGCAGGGCACAACTTGCCGGGGTGGGTGGGTGCGGGGGGACGGCCGTGCCCACCGCCGCCAGCAGGTGAAAGCAGCACTTTGGGGCCAATTCCGGGGTGCTGCCGCGAGCGCCGGCGAGCGGGGATTCCCTGGGTGTCCGCCTCACCTCTATTCCGGAGCGCGACGGAGCAGAGGTGCGGTCTTTCTCCAGGAGGGTGGCAGCTGGCGCGCAGGCAGCGAAGCGCAGGAGAGGCTTCCTCGCCCGGGAAGGCAGGGAGAAGCCCAGGGGTCAGCTCCGGCCAGGAGCCGCTGGGCTCCTCCAAGTCCCCTCCCCCTACTTGAAAACCGACCTGGCCCAGCATAAATTACAGCAGCGCAACCCGCACCCGCCCCCCCCCACCCCGCCTCCCCAATAACGTTTCTAATAAAAGACACTGCCTCCCCCTGCCTACAGAAAACCGCGAGCTCCGCGTGATGGAAATAAACAGGTGAGCCCAGCGAGAAGCGGGAAAAGGACTGGGAACCCGAGAATACGGAGTGGGGGGGAAGGCGTTCCCGAGCGGGCAGGGAAATCGAGGCTTCCCCGCCCTCCCACCACACTCCCTCTCTCGGCCCGGGAAAATCTGCGTGGCAGGGTGCGAGCTAAAAATGCCAGCCCTACTGCGCCCCTCGCCGCCCCGCGCCTACTCGCCCTCCTACCCAGGGCTCCAGCGGCCCGGCCTCGTGGCGGTGCCCAGTCCCGGGGCGCCGAGCGGGAATCGCCCTCACCCCTGGCCGCTGCCGCCGCCGCCGCCGAGGGGACTCCGGTCTTTCTCCTCCCTCCCCGCCTCCTCCTCTTCTTCCTCCTCCTCCGCCGCCGCCGCCGCCGCCTCCTCGCAGACTCCTCCCGCCGGATCCTTCATGTAAACAACGTCCAGGCTCTATTTACAGTCGCCGCCGGACGGCGAGGGACCCACGCCAGCACCCTGGCCCAGGCGGGGGTGGGGAAAAGCGAGTGCGCAACATTTACACACGGCCGCCCCGCCCCTGCGCGCCGCCGCCGCCCCTCGGGGGGCTCCCCGTGCCCTGGGCCGGGACCGGGGGCCCTGACACTACAGCGCGGGCCCCAGGAAACCGCGGGAATGCCCAGGGGCGCGGCCGCCCCTCAGGAAAAATACCACAACCCAACAACAACAGCAAGCCCAGCCCGGGGGCACCCACGCCGGCCGCCCGGGCCCCGCCACCCCCGCGCCCCCTGCCTACCCGGAGCTGGCGAGCTGCGAGCGGTCCTCGACGCGGCTACAGGCGGGCGCCCAGCCCCGCCGCCCGGCCGGCCCCCGCCCCCCGCGCGCGCGCGCGCGCCGAGTGGCCGAGCCCCGCGGCTGCGTGTGCGTGTGCGTGTGCGCGCCCGGCCTCGCCGGCACCTCTCTCTGCGCCCCGGCAGCTGCCCGCGGCCCCGGGCCGCCTCCCGCGCGCAGCGGCCAGCGCTCCTTGGCGGCGCATGGGCGCGCACACGGATGCCGCTAGAGGAGCCTCGAGCCCCGCGCGGCCGCACGCCTCCCGCCTCCGCGGGCGCAGGGCTCCGCGCGTGGCCCGCCACCCCCGCGCCTGGCTGGCCGGCCCCACACCCACCTGCGCCCCTGGGGGGGTCCCGGGCCCCCCTTCCTTTGTTCTTGCCGCGATTTGCATGAGGATTATCTAATGACGCAGCAAGGCTCGCCACAACGTGACCGTCGCCATTTTTCTGTTTTTATTCTATCTGCCATGTGATAGATTGAGGGGGGTTGGGGGATTGGAAAAGGGAGAGAGAGACAGGATTAAAAAAAAAAAAAAAACTTCCGGGTCTCATGACCGGGAAGGGAGAAAAACAAAAGGGAGACGAGACCCAACTCCAGGGGAAGGGTGTGCGCGCGCGCATGTGCGCGCCCCCTGCCCTCTTCGCGGCGGGCGGCGGGGAGGCACCAGCATCCTCCCGCGCTAGCGAGTCCGTGGTCGGGGTAGCTCCTGGTCCCACCCTCCCTCCAAGGGGTCTCCTGCCCCGGCCCACATTCGCCCCCCAAGCCCGAGGAAGCTGTCAGCCTGGCCCCTTTCTCCGGCTGCCTCCGGTGGCCCGTCCGCCCCGCAGCTCGCCCTCAGGCTCCCGGCGGCTGTGGCGCTGCGGGTTGGGGAGCCAAGAAGTCGCACTATGGCCGGGAAGGGGAATGACAGCCTTGAAAGGCCACCGTGTTTCCCAAGTTTTAAAACAGTTTGCCCGACGAAGTTGTTTATGACAACCGCATGGCAACTCCGGGGGCAGCGTCCAGGGTCGCTTTGAGTCCTGCTTCTCCTGCTACTCGCTCTTCCCAAGGCGGGACCCGTGCTTAGGTGGAGTTCGGTGGCGATGGTTTTGTCGGGGGCGGACCGCTCATCGTGGATTGATTGATTTGGGGGAGAAACCTTAAACAATTGTGGTTCAGGGTTAGGGGGCGGTGGCTTCCTAAGACCGCTGCGCGGAGCCGGGTGGATTCACCAAGAACCCACCTTGGGAGGGCGCGGCGGACTCCCAAGTTCGCGGTGGCTGGGGAAGAAAAATCCCAAAATATTTGCGAATGCAGCCGGCCACGTTTTCCAGGGGGAAAGGGAGAATTCTGCGCTCTTTTGGATTCGTGGTGTTTCCTTTGGGCACTTTCACTTTTGTTTCTCCTTAGGTTTCCGTTCTGTTTGGGGTTTTTGTGTTTGTTTTCGCCCACGTGTCAGAATTCAGAGCCGAAAGGGACGCCGGCGTCGGCTCGTGCCTCAGCTTCCCGGCGAGGCCTGAGCCGCGGTGGAGACTGCTCCGTCACACATTTCCTTAGCGCCGGGCTGGGACGGAGCCCCGCTCACCTGACAAGAGGGGTTGCGGGGTACGGTGTGGGGGATGGAGCGGTGCCGACACAGAGGGCGACTTGCTGAGCGTGCGGGGCAGGAATTCCGCTTTGTACCGTTCCCGTCCCGGCGGTTAAAGATGGAGAGCGCTCAGGAGGCCAGGCCCGTCCCGGCACTGGTGTGGCTTTGCTTGCCTTGCTAACACCCCCTTACTTGAGTGTTGACTGAATTCACCTTGGGCTTCACCTTTCCCTGGGAGAGTGAGTCGTTTCTCACGGAGCTACGTGGACCATCGCGCCGTGTGGCTTGTGTGGATGGCTTCTCAGAGACTCACAGAGTTGACCACCACCCCTGTGTGTGCCCGCTGTGTCCTTTTTCTAACTATTCCGTGGTGCCTACGAACGGTAGCGGTGTTGCCTTCTGCACTGGGTAGTCTGGAGAGCGAGGGCCATACTATATTCATTTTCTGTGGCCCGGATTTAGCATGCCTGGCAATGAACAAAGCCCTGAAGAGGCTCTGTTCCCTGATGCCATCCTAGCCAGCTCCGAGAAATTCCTCGCGTGTTTCCAGTGAAGGTAGAACACTGAAGGTGCTTGTTGAGCCCTACATCTTTGCAGGTCATTTTTGGCAGCTTCCTTTAGTTACAGAGCCAGGCATAACATATTTTGCTTAATTTTTTTTTAACCAACTGCTCCCCTTCCTTTTTTTTTTTAAACCATATTTAGTTTCTTGTCTGTAAATTCTTTCTAATTCGTATAAATAAGTTAATTATGCCAACCCTTGCCTTTTGGGAGTTGCTTTTGCTTGCACAGACTCTGAAAGTTTGGTGAAGTTTAAGTTGTAATTTAACCCTGCTGGAAGCAAATCGTCATGGTTAATGAGCTCTCCGGATTGTTCCTGGGATCCAGGGAAATGGGTGGGGAGGCTGGCAGGGAGCAAGCTAAAGAGGGCTGCTGGGAAAGATGTCAGCATCAGTACGAAAAGTGCACAACTACAACTTTAAGACTACAGAGTAACTGATGTAGTACTTTGCGGCTCAAAAGAGGGTCCAGATTGTTACAAATGAGTTCATTTACACCTGGACTGGAAAGGTTCTAGTTTATAGTTTTGTTTTGTTTGTTTGTTTTTGAAAGGCAGGGTTACAGACAGAGAGGGAGAGACAGAAAGAGAAACAAATCTTCCATCCACTAGTTCACTCCCCAAATGGCCACAAGGGAAGCCAAAAGCCCAAAGCTTCTTGGAGTTCTCCAATGTGGGTGCAGGGGCCCCGCAATTGGACCATCTTCCTCTGCTCTCCCAGGTACAACCTCAGAAAGCTGGATTGGAAGTGGAGCAGCTGGGACTCAACGGTGCTCATGATGACCAATTCTGATCATAGTTCTGTTTCTTTTTTATCGTTTTTTTTAGCCAACTGCATGTATTCTTTGGCATGGGGTAGATGAAGTTGGTGTGACTGATACTAACATCAAAAGCACCTGTGTTTATGCCAGATAACAACAGTGTTAATAATTAAGTATAATAATGTAAACTTCCAGCAAGTTGGAAACAGAGCCTAATTTTTATTTATATAGTCAGTTGTTCCCATACATACAAAGCCGAATGAAGAGAAAAAGATCATAGCTCAAAAGATATGGGAGATACTTCCACTCACATGCACTCACACATCATTTTAAAGAAGATCAAATATGACTCCTCTGGAGTATTACCATAGCTGCTGATTGAAAACAGGTTTTGTGGGTACCCCTGACCATCTGCCATCTTTCTTTCCTTTTAAAAAATATCTATTTATGTATTTGAAAGGCAGATTTACAGAGAGGCATAGGCAGAGAGAGAGAGAGAGAGAGAGGTCTTCCATTGACTGGTTCACTCCCCAGATGGCCGCAATGGTCAGAGCTGCGCCGATCTGAAGCCATGAGCTTCTTCCGAGTCTCCCTCATGGGTACAGGGGCCCAAGGACCTGGGACATCTTCCGCTTTCACAGGCCACAGCAGAGAGCTGGACCAGAAGCTGAACCAGTGCCCATAAGGGATATTGGCACTGCAGGCGGTGGCTTCACCCCCTACACCACAACACCAGCCCCATCTGCCATCTTTCTAACACACACTTGAAAAATGGTAATTTCTTGGGGTAAGTGTTTGGTGTAGTACTTATGATACTGCTTGGGAAGCCTGCATCCTCTTTTGGAATGCCTGTGTCCAAGAACCAGTTCAACTCCTGATCCCAGCTTCCTGCTAATGTGCGCCCTGGGAATCAGCAGGCAATGGCTAAAATACTTGAATCCCTGCCACCCACATGGGAGACCCAGACTGAGTCCTAGGCTCTGGCTCTGGCTCTGGCTCTGGCTCTGGGCCAGCCCTGCCTGTTGTAGCCATTTTGGGAGTGAACCAGTTGATGGGAGCCCTGTCTTTTTTCTTTCTCTACCATTCAGATAACTAATGAAATAATTTTTGAAAAGCCACTAGTTTTAAACACCACTGGACAATACTTTTTTTTTTTTTAAATGACGATTCTTAGAGTCATGAAGCAAGGACTTTGGAGCCAGTATTAATCTCAACTCTGCCAATCTGCTGTGTCATCCCGTGTCAGCCTGTTACTTTTCACTTGTGATCGTCAGCTTCTTTATCCATAATAGCACCTAGAAAGAAGAGTTTTCAGGACTGATATTTAATAGAATATCTTCAAAGTGCCAGCATGATACTTGGAACATAATCTTCAATAAAAGGCATCTGTAATAATTTTTTGAAACTGCATTTGTATGTATCTCACACATGTTCTCGAAAATTCAACAAACCTATGATTAGTGAAAGTTCTGTAACCCTGAAGAGAAGCAGAAGAGGCCCACCCCTCAGGAAGTTCACACTTCAGCTTTGGAGAAGGCTGCAACAGGACTGACCCTGGTGGGCTGGAGAGCTCGTGTTTGCAGCATTTTTTGATGATCTACCTGAGATGTATATAGTGAAGGTCCAGATTTAGTAATATCTATGTAATGACAAGAGTTATGGAAGAGTTAGAAAAATGCACCTCAAAAATTTCAAATTTTCACATACTTGAGAAATATCACCTTTAAATTTCCATCTTGGGACAGGCATTTAGCAAAGTGGTTAAGATGCCGGTATCCCATATCAGAGTGCCTGGGTTCCAGTCCCAGTCTGTTTCTGATTCCAGCTTCCTATCAATGCAGACCCTGGGAGGCAGCAAGTGATGGCTCAAGTAGTTGGGTCCCTGTCACCCATGTGGAAGATCTGATTGAGTACCAGTCTCCTAGCTTTGGTGTGGCCCGGTCCCAGCTGTTGTGGGCATTTGGAGGAATGAGCCAACGGATAGGGATCTCTGTATTCTCTTTTCTACTGTGTTCCCAGGCTATAAGAGAGCTGGATGGAAGTGGAGCAGCCAGGTCATAAACTAGTGCCCATATGGGATGCCAGCACTGCAGGCGGCGGCTTTACCTGCTACACCATGGAGCTGGCCCCTAACAGAAGCACTTCTGATGGCCAATTAATTATACCACTTTAATCAAGGGCTACAGTTTTTTTTTTTTTAAGATTTATTTATTTTACTTGAAAGTCACAGTTACACAGAGAGAGAAGGAGAGGTAGAGAGAGAGAGAGAGAAAGAGAGAGAGAGAGAAGTCTTCCATCTGCTTGTTCACTCCCCAATTGGCCCCAACAGCCAGAACTATGTCAATCTGAAGCCAGGAGCCAGGAGCTTCTTTGAGTCTCCCACGTGAGTGCAGGGGCCCAAGGATTTGGGCCATCCCAGGCCATAGCAGAGGTGCTGGATCGGAAGTGGAGCAGCCAGGACTCACACTGGCGCTCATATGGGATGCTGGCACTGCAGGTGGTGGCTTTATCCACTACACCACAGTGCCAGCCCCAAGAGTTACAGTGTTTTCTGAGAAACTTATTCCCTGCCTTGGATCAGGTACTAAAAAAATGAACATGATGAAGACATAGACTTTGCCCTCAAGGAACTCATAATTTAATAGTACTTCATTCAACAAATGTTTATTGATTACTTATTGGAGATTCAGTGGTGAATGAGACATTGGGATTGGTCTATTGAGAGATTGATATCTACACACACCTTTCTAGTTTCCTGCAGAAATGTGTGATTGTTGGGATTCCCGCACTCTATGATTAGTTCAAGTCTCAGCCTCTCTGCTTCCAGTCCAGCTTCCTGTTAATGGACACCCTTGAAGGCAGAAGATGAAGGCTCAGTTACTTGGGTCCCTGTCACCCACATGGGAGACCCCAGTTGAGTTCAAAGCTCTTGGCTTCAGCCACTGCTGTCACGGGCGTGGCTGTTGCAGGCTTTTGGGGAGGGAACACAGTGAATAGAAGATCTCTTGCTCTTGCTCTTGCTCTCCCCCCGCCCTTTGTCTTTCGAATTAATAAAAGTAAATAAACATTTTTAAAAAGATGTGTGTGATTGATACAAGATTTGGGCAAAATGAAATCTATGCAAACATACAATATATGCTTGTGTTTGTATATATCCCCATACCCAGGACTTTCTTGTTCCATGAAACAAAGAGTGGCTCTTGAAAGAATAGTTTGTGTCTAC